AGTGCCTTAAAAACGAATTAATATCAGACATGCTAAGATATTGCTGTAAAATAAAGGTCCGAGTTAGTAAACGAAGCTCTATAACATTCGATATCTTCAAATTAAGCACCCGATGCATGGTAGTTGCACAATAAGTAAATAACAAGAGCATACTTGAGATACTAGGCTGATGAAACTATTATTTTCATTCTTTCCTTGTCCACATTTGTAGCAGCACTAAAACTTGCTATCACCAACCAGTACTACTAGAACCAATCCGTCTTACCAACAACTGGATTGGTGATTGCGCTCCGTGATTAAAAAGAGACATATCTAAACCAGCTGGTACATATTATAGTGTACCAGCTAAAGTTTTGTAATGTTTCGAACGCAAATAGTTCACCAACATAAGCACAGCACATAGAACTAAAACGGTAAAAAACAAGCGATAATGTTCATAATATATACGCTTATAGTCACACAAATAAATTGACCATTATAAATTTTTTCTGTAAGCGCTTTTTAGGTGCTGTGCAAGCACATCCTTTTACATGAATGCATGGTGGTACCTCATACAGGAATAACCTGTGCAAATATTATACAGGGGCCTATACAAACGTGGCTGTGAACGAAGCCACGTTCAGTGTGAATTTATTTCGCGTTATGTTGCACCATTGTTGCACTGTAGCTATCTCAGAGCCAAAAACGCTTGTCAACGTGCACCCTTCTACAGTGCCGTTCACTGCAGCAACTGTTGTGCGACGTCGTGTGGAGTATTGAGTTTGAATCACACGCTCTGTTCTCTTTGTCAACCTGTCAGAAACAAGTTTACGCTCTAATATTTTAAACTAACATACTCGTCTACCCAAAGATTACCTTTCAAGCTGAGCACGCTGTTACAACTACCAAACTTTTGAGAACAAATTGTAATGCAATCAGTTATCTGAGACAAAGAAAAAAAATAGCCCCTCCCGAACGCTTAGAAGCTAAGAAAAAAATGTCAGAACACTGATAAGCGTAACACCTTTTGTCTCAACAGGAAATCAAACTAGCCGTCTGATGTGAGATTGCCAAGTACAGCGTTATATAATCATTCAACTACATCAACGTGTTTCAAGGAAATAATAACAGCATCTCGCACCAGTTGATGTATTCTTTCCACTCATCGCAGAAGTATGTTTACGTCGAAGGGGCAAGAAACGAATCTGTTCAACAGTCTCAAAGGTTCGTTTCAAGCCAACTGCATGGGAACGCATTGTACACATGAGAAACAATTGGGTACACAACATTCAAATACTCTGGTGAAACAGCACAACAAAATGATGTCCTTCAGAAGTTACAATCAACAAAACTCATCTGGCGTCCAGTACGCTAGAAAAGCAATCAGCAAGCATCATTGTACCACACGGTGCTTTGATGAAGCTGGACTACTGCGTTAGAGTTGCAGCCCAGCAGCTAGCTGTTTGTCCATGCATATATGTTATATCTATATATCTATGTATACATAGTGCGCGCATCTTTGCTGTGTTCGAACTTTGGCCTCCAGCATCCCACAGTCAGTTGGCATTACGTAGCGTTAGTCTGCCGTTATTCACGCCACAACTCTGAGCCGCAATTTTTGACACACTACAGAAAAAAAAAAGGTTCATGGCAGTTGTGGGCGGCATCTGAGTGAACATTTCCAGATTCACCATGAAGTTGGAAGAACGTAGTAATGATATGATCAAAACTGCCACTTAGAAGTGGTTATTGTCGAAATTATTGAAAAGTGCGCCATCATTTCATTATAGTTTTTTGACGTTGTTATCTTTAGCGTCCTGTGGTTTTTTTCGTACCACATATCCAAACTTCGTGCTAGTGGTAGTAAGAAGATTACGCAAGCTAGCACCAAGGCGTCCATTCATAGTGTTATACAGTGTCGGTCGGCATGTTGTCCTTGTGAACGTCGCTGACACAGCTCGCTAATCTCCCAACGACAAGAACAGTGTGAAAAGTACTGCAATCTAATCAGCACTTTTCGCATGTGTCGCAGCAGAAACAACGTGTTGCATTAACGCCTATCTGGAGTTCCTTCATCACGCCCACGCGTCCTTCACTACACGTCACTGATGTTTCTTTGTTACCAAAGAACCGTCTCAGAGCCGGTGGTATACACCGTTAAGTGTCCGGGGCTCGCAAACACTTCTCCGTACTGCATATGAAGGCCGTGGACTCGGTAGATAAGTCCCTGTTTATCTTTTGGGAAAAAAGGAAACCTGCCACCGGCGCCGTAATACTATTGCGTGTAAGACAAATATCGGTGTTTCATTTGTGAATTCGCTTCAACCCTCTCAACATTAAAAGCGAGAATAGTGTATAAGCTATGTTATTGTCCAGCTCTTGGCAACAACGTAGAGAACTGATACTGTCGACATTCACGGTCTTCAAGGGGTGCTTTTTTTTTCTTTATTATAAAATGCTCGTTGTGAACTACACGAAAATACATTTTCACTTCTCGTTAAACTAGTTTTAGTGTTTCGCGCATGACCAATGTGATTCATATTGACAGGATCTGAGCTCTCCAACTGTCGACTTTTTATCTCTTCATATATCATCCAGGGCAGCAGTTCTCAACCATTGATAATCCGGGCTCCCGTTATGGACCGGTGAAAGTGACGAGAGGCCTCTTTTAATTATATAAAAGTAGGATAGATTATATTTTAACGCAACATTCACCGTCAAATAGTTTCCTCCTATTTACCCCTGGTGAAGAGTGATCCAACTGAGGTGCCACGCCTGTTCCATCGCAAAAGCTTGCCAATGAGTTGTGCTGTCTCTATTCACCTACAATGTTTCTCTCTATGCTTTATCTTAAAAATATACAAGCCTACACAGACGTGCAATGACGTTCATATGGCCTAAATATTAAACCGCAACAACCGCTTTAAATTAAAGCCATGCCATGAAACCAAATACAAGTCATCTTCACCGCATTGCAAACTCGTTATGCAGTATGGCGTAGTAAAGTACGAAAGGGTCACTGTCACGCGACCAAGCGTGCTTCAGACAAAAAAAACGCACTTCTAGTTTTGCTTTTTGCGCTATGGGTCTCGCGGCCTCACAAATTTGTCTTCGCCGACCACCATTTGGGAACCACTGCTCTAGGACCTATCTATTACAAGTGGTATCCTGTGCGCATCTATACAGATTGTGATTCCTCGGAACGGCCTAGAAAATATGCGCTTAACACAATCTAAGACATCCTGAAACAGTAACTATTTGGCAGTGTGCGGTAAAACTTGACGCCGTTCTTTCGTCCATTAGCGTCTTCTTAAGGCGATATATGTTATACAACTTACAGATATTATTAGGGTACCCTACTATGCTGCTTGCGTATAAAAGCAGGGTTTCTTGATCACAAGAGGCAAGATGAGCATATCAGAGTATTTGCAGGGGCTAAACAGAGCTACCAACACAAGTATACTCCTCACATATTTAATGTAAGGTGATATCATTTGTTCGGCCGGTTTTCAGCGATGGACTGTGGCAAATCTATTGTGTTCCCGGCCAAGTCTTTTGAAGAAAAGACTAGTGTTTGAAGTACCAGCTCGTCAGAATACATCGCCTGTGCTTCCGGCTTCATACACGGTGTCTCTGGTAGCACGGCGCATGCATAAAAATGCTCAATGAGTGGTATATAGGCACTGCTTCAGAAGAATGCAGTCCTATTTCTACAGCGAATTTCTGTTCTGTTCTGATCTATTTTAACTAGCTAGCCGTGGAGAGGACGAGATTTATATTACCTGGGTTACTCCATTTCTATAAGCTTGGATACAAGAAACTAAAAAGTTAACAAAAAATTTAAAGTCATGTGCATTTTTATTTCAAGAAAACATGTGATATTCTCAGTTTCGGCATTTCTACATACTCCTGAATTGTATCATAAAATCATCTGACTGACTCCTCCGAGGAAGCAAACATAATGATGCTTTGATGCACGAGATCACGTAACCTACTGTAAAATGTTGCCAGACGAGCTATTCTTTCTTTTTCTTGTTCTTAGTTCATCCAGAAGACTATGTAGCTATTGCTGCGCACATGATTGCTCAGAAATGGAATTTCATTACCACATTCGTTTCATTATGATATATACGAAAAAGAAATTTTGGTCAAAACTGAGGTGCATTAAAGCGTTGTCATTACACACATAATTTTTCTAAAAGTTGAAAATTGTAAAATGTAACAACCCCTAATGATTACAGCCACATCTGATTACGCTCGAGCATAATAAGCAAGCACAACGTTGCAAAAATTGTGGCTACGCCATAAACAGCTGCGGTATTTGGAATGTAAAAACTCGTAATATTTGCACTTGACCACCAATATTCATATTGCAGCTATAAAAATGAAACAATATCGTTGTTAAGGTATGGCAGCTCGATACTTTACCACAGACTTGAATTATTCGTAGCTATTTCGCGGGTCGCCGGATTCTAAGTCTAAGTCAGCATCAACAGTACCGAAATACGAGTAGCCCACACCCTTCAAAGGATTTAACGGAAATTGTGATATGTACAACCTTAGTGTCAGTTGTCAGCTTCGCTTACGCAAATTCCAGATCACGTGATGCGCCCTTATTCACTAATGAGCACGGTAGACATCGTACTTGCCCTACACCAAAAACTCTAAGGCTTGGCTTTGTATGACCTAGCGCGATCTTATGCGACCCTATTTTACCATCTGAATGTTCGAGCAAAGCAATGCGGATATTTTTCACAGCTTTTACACCCAGCAGCTCCCATATCGTCGTATTATTGCTACTGCACAATTCTAACAAAACGCCGTCACTCTTCGCACGCTGGACATGCGTACGAATAACCTCCATCGGCGGCTACGATCTACGCCTTATACTACATGTCACGTGTCATGGTCCTCATATCGACGGGCACGCCAGGGTCAGAGTCACTAATAGTGCAAGTGCCAAGGTGATCCCGCGCACGGTAGGACGTCGATATCTCAAACAAGCATCGGAGCAGAAAACGTCAACTTTTCGGCTTTCGCACGTTGCCAGGGTATGTAGCGCTTCTGCACCCCGTTGCATACACCTCAACAGTTCACGACTTGCGCGAAACTACATCGCGAACTAGGCCGTAGAAAGGTTTTGTTCCTAGAAAGGGCAGACGTTCACGATACGCAGTTGGGACAGCTGCGTCGGTGCAGTTTGTTGTCGCCGAGCGAACACATCTAGACGTCGGTGGGCGATCGCCGGGGCTTGGCGAACGGCGGTGGCCTCGCCGGTGGTACGGGTCCCGGCAGGTGCTGCGGCCGGTGTACGCTGCAGTTGAGCTCGGGCAGGAAAGGCGTCTGTCGCGCGGCGCACGTGGGGCTGTGTTCGAGCTCGCGAAGCGGCAGCGACAGGCTTCGCGACGCCTGGCCCGCTCGCCGCGAATGCCGTCGGCACAGGATGACCGCGATCACCACGCACAGAAGGACGACGCCGGCGCCGGCTCCGCAGCCAGCCAGCAGCGGTAGGTTGCCTGCAGGTGTGCAAGACAGACGAGTGTCACAAGACAGACATGCCTTCCTTGTACTTTGAAGATCTTTGAAGTCGCCAATGAATTCAGTTTTGGAAAGCTTCTGTTTGAGGTCGTACATACTTACCGAACGTCTTGGGGGCAAAGCAGTCGAGGACAAAAAACACTGCAGAGAAGATCGTCGAATAGTTGTGCACGCATGATTACGTTCGGCCACGAAGAAAATCAGGCGGTAGTTGGGGCCCGTCCTGTCTACGGTGCTGTGTGTCTTTGACTGCTTTACCGCAAGATGTTTGCGTAAGTGAAGCCAGTTGTCGTGACGCACTGGTGCATTAGAAACGTTGGAATCTAATTTATTGGTGCTTTATTCAAACCATACCACTAAAGGGACGGTGTTTGAAATACATGACGAAAGCGTGTTCAGCTCACAAGAAAACTAAAACGGTTAACAAGACGGGATGCACACGGGCGCCTGCCTTACTCGCAACATTTTATCGTCAACGCTTCGCGGTTCTCAATAAAGCGTCGCGAATTGGCCCACGTGTGCTTTCCTTCTTATTCACCGTCTGCGTCTTGCTGTGCGCTCTAAAAGGCTTTCTCGGATTAGGTACCGATGGTGGTACATACACTTAACTGTACAGAGTAGCTCTGGCTATGTGTTTCATGTTGTACCTTCAACATTGATTGAAACACGCGGATGAAACGATAATTGCATGCAAGGCTGACATGTTTAAGCTACTTTATGGATTTTTATGTGTTCAATGCTTTTGTTACATCGCAAGCCCTTCTTGACATCTGTTACGACACGTTCACTGCAAGCAAATTTATCTTCCGAAAACGCGGTCGAAACTAATGTATTTAAAGCGTTGCTACTAAGTGCCATTTAGATGCCATGCCATTTTTTTTTAGAAAAGCACTACTTCGAAAATTGACTTCCAAGTCAATCTTCAAAAGTACCCAGCTGCGTGGCCTGATACAGTGGAGCTGTGGTAGTACAGTTCTCATCATCCTTCCCTCTCCCGTACATTATTAAAATGTGTTACAGAACCGTATGAAACTCGATTTTTAAGCGTCCGATCATATACTGATATGTACATATATACACGCCAATTGTGGTCTTGTAAAAACATAAATCAAAATATCAAAATACTAATGCAGCAAGAAAAAATATTCACTGATGGGCTTTTTGTTTCAATCACTGCCGTCACTCTATTGCGGCCTTCTTACGGAAAATGATTTCTTTCTGTATGTGTGAGCGCATGGAAGGTGTAAAATCTATTGCATCTTACTAGATATCTACCAGAATAAAGAAAAACGGCACATCAATAGCTCTCAGGCTAAAAGAATGAAGAAAAAAAGTAAGCTGCTATAAAAAAGAAAACCATGTCGAGGACACAGCATTGAACTTGCCAGGTGAATTATTGAGGCAGGCGTCGGAACCCGCAGTAGCCTCGAAACTAGATTGCTCGTATAAAGCGAGATTCTTGGAAACTGCATTAGACTCGCTTCATCACTCACGTACCGAGTTGGGCGCCTGTGCGGCGCGTATCAGTCCAACTTACCGCGGCTCGCTCTCGCCTGGATCCTAAGCCGGTGCGGCAGTGATAGACATAATTATGCACATCATCTGTTGGCGCTGCGCATTTTAATGTCTCGCTATACAATCCCTGCTAAAGGGGCGCACTCACTCGGATCAAGCATGTTGCCGGCTATGGGGTATAGAGGAAGAAAAAGGAAAGGGGGGAGGGGGCTTTTGGGGAAAGCGTGATCTCAACTCCCTGTGGAGCAATTTATCACGGGTTTACGACGTTAGCCGAGGTGTACCGGGAGAGCGATGAGCGGGACTTTCCGAAACGGGAGCGCTTCACTGTGGTGGGGCCGGTGCTAAAGCGGCTTGGTACCAATTTTTGGAAGGCTCGTTGTCGATACTGACCGGCTGGAAGGCTATACAGCCCATCATACCGCGAAGACTGGCGTTGAAGGTATTTCAATGTAAAATGTCACAGTAACGCATTCCTTGTAGTACCTGCTCATCATATGACGTTGTTTACGCTGTGTGAAGCTGTTTATCTCTTTCTGCCTTCTACAATGCTATATAAGCGTCGATGCATATTAACCTAATGCAACACTATCTTAAAGTAGTAGGGAAGAAAGAAGTTTGAGTGTCAAAATAATACCTCACGTCCAGGGCTGTAGCATGCATCGTCATTTTTAAAGTCCGAACATTATGCACACAATTTCCAAGTGACAGTGACAAGCGGCAGCGACAAACTTGCTCCGTCGCGACGGCTGCAACCGCATGTCGGCGACAAAGTGTCATTGGTGCTTGAATAAAAACTATCGTGTGTACACCCATGAATATCGGATCGAAGTTTAAGAGTTGGTCGATGACAACATGCAAATTTATTACTGTCTAGTGTGACACGAGGAAGCCACAAAGGTGTTTCACGGCCTTTTTTTTTTTCGCAATCTTTGGTTTAGCCACGACAGGCTACCGAGAAGCGTACGCTACGGTGGCGAAACGATGCACTTCGCATGACGATTTGACATTGTAGCAAACGACGAAATTGTCACAAGCTACCGTCAAGACATAAAAACAAACTTTCGACAACGAGATTACAACAAGATATGGCCAATCTCACTTTCCGCGTGCGATGAGAGTGTAAAAAGGTAGTCGATACCTTGCATTCTTTGAAGTATACGCTTGGATAACAAGCATCTAGAGCAAATTGCAAGCGGAGCGAGGACCAGGGGCGCAGCCCGGTTGCCTAAAATTGCCACGCTGGCTTGCGGGTGACAATCGCTCTTTTCTAGTTTTCCAGAAGCGCGCGACGCGACAAGCGGCGGTGAGGGATGGGCCTACGCGACTGAAAATCTTGTCGCCCGTCGCTGTCGTTTCTCGCTGTCGCGAGGAAACGGCGTGCATGTGGTGAAGGCTTGAACAACAATGCACAACATACAGGACATAGTAATGTGGTGTATTCTTCCACCGCAGGCTGGCATCGCAAAAAGAGCCATATTTTCAGCGACAGGTGATACAGTCATGTTGATTGAACTATATGTGTGGTTTAACGTCCCAAAACCACCATATGATTATGAGAGACGCCGTAGTGGAGGGCTCTGGAAATTTCGACCACCTGGGGTTCTTTAACGTGCACCCAAATCTGAGCACACGTGCTCACAGCATTTCCGCCTACATCGAAAATGCAGCCGCCGCAGCCGGGATTCGATCCCGCGACCTGCGGGTTAGCAGCCGAGTACCTTAGCCACTAGACCACCGCGATGGGGCGATACAGTCTTATTTAAGTAAAGCGTATTCGCGCATTCCCTTACGCAAGCGTAGTAGGTTCTTCACTGATTCGTAAGAGGAATAATTATGGCGAGGTGGGCACTTCACTACTTTACTTGTAGTAGGCCTTGTAGCGTAGTTTGAAACAGCTAATTTGAAGCACACGCATGTCTGTCTATACAGCATGGTTCAAGCATACACCGAGAACGGAAACCGGGTTTTATCTTTTGAGAAGGCAATGCGCACAAGGACCGATTGCGCTATCGCATTCTACTTCTGAAGGCGAAGCTCAAGTGTTCTCCAAGCTTTTAAAACTCATTCGAACGGTAATATCTAAATTTTAATAATGGTGAGAATAAGCGAGATAGGTTATGTACGTGCAGGCACTCAAACACACCTATGTGAAAAGCACCCGCTGAGCTATGTCCCTTCATTCAGGGGGACATGTTTCCGTCATTTGGATGTCGAGTACGTGTGGCGTATGAGATTCTTTGTGAGTACGATAGATCACCTTATACTCACATTTATCTTCATCGCTGAAGTCTTCGCCACTACAGTTGGGCAGTCCATCGCATACTAATGACCTATCGATGCAGTACTCTCTCGTTTCAGTGCAGCTCCGAGATTCCGAATTCATGCAGTACTGGCTCTTGGGGCAGGTGTACTCCTTACAGACGTCTGAGAATTCACAAAACAGCAAACAAAGTATCGGTGATCTTTGTTTTTGGGCCTGTGCGAATACTGTGAAATTTAAAATAAGAAACCGAATATTTGATTCGAATATGAATAGAATAGTGCGTATAAAAAATACCTATTATTTTGGAATGTTTTTCGAATAATATGTCTCGATGAAAAGGCTCAAAACAAACGATGTGTTCGAGCAGAGAGGGCTAAAGTGCCAAGTTTTACATTGTATTAACAAGATAATGCAACTCAAGATTTTACGAGACTTTCTGTGCTATACTGATTACAGTTTGAGGGTTTATTCCCTCTAAACTCCGGTGTCCCTGAAACTACAGAGTCATAATTCGCTATACAATCATAATATTTATTATGACGTCGACTTATGAATATTCTATAATATTTGTATAAAAAACCTAGAAGCTGCTCATTAGGTACCACCTTGAATGCTACAGTCCTCCTGTATTTGAAGCTGCAGTTACAAAATGTTTCTGAAACTCCAGTTCTACTGTGTATGATTATCTATCAATTGACAAAACTGTAGCATTTCATTATCAATGTGCCTTGGTTAAAAATAGTGAATATTTGTTTAAAATAAAATGCGAAATTCGTGGGCTGCTTCGAAAATTATAACGTGGTCTACTTAAGGCTGCTGTGAAAATGATTTCCTTACTATTCGCAAGCTATTCAAAAACTATTTTTGTAATATTCTGCTCGTACTTGCACTCGATACGGTGCTATCGCTATTATTTTCAATTTGGATGTAAAGTTGGCTATTGGCACACCCCTAATCATGTGGCAATGCAGGAAATAGTTCCGGTGCGAGTATCAACGACAAGACTAAATGCGTCCTCTATTCTTTTACGATTGCAAACAAAGACACCATGTTTGCTAACAATCACTCGTTCATATATGGTAATATTTACTCCCGTGTTAATAGACTTGATCATATTTAATATTACATGACGGTACATGACAGCCGTTCGAATGCAGTAATTTATAAACTTTAAGCGAGTTTGTAATACAGCAGAAGCTGCGGAATAATACAGCAAATTAAAGACATTATTGGGAAAAGATCGATAAAGTAGAAGGTGATCTATTAATTTTCAACCTGTCACTTTGATAAGTGCATTAGTATTCTAAACAACGCACCGTCCGACTCATGGCCTATCCACTATAGAGGATTGCACCAAGATATTTTGGAACCAACCAACCAACCAAGATGACCTGTTCTGGCCTTCAATTCACGTGCTACAGCAGCACCCAATGAGTCAGGCTGCAGTTTATTGTAAATAAACCAATTTTAGTTGTAACGTGAGGTTACATTTATTACAGTATTAGAAAGTACAGTGAGCACATTCTTCTATTTACTGAATGGAATTGTTTAGAATTTGGACATTCCTCTAAAACGCCGTCAGTGCTCACTCAATCTCAAGTGATCTTTCAGCAAATGTGCATGAATAACGCGTGTATATTCTTAGAGTTCAGGTGGATCGCAATACTTGTTTCAAGTAATAATTTAGGCAAAGCAGCGCAGTACATTGGACGCGTGAATTCACGAGACTCGGTCTTTCTGTAGCGACGCCTAGTTTCCCAATATTACCAGCGGTATAGGAAAATGGGTGTGCCTTGAGCAACGTCCAGGCTCGCAGAATTACTTTCCCTCTGCGAGTAAGCATACTGCATTGTTATTTTGAATACATCGAGAGTGTGAGTTTCTTGTGGCACCTGTAATGCTATAACGAATATTATTTGTGCTCTGCAAAATTTCATCTCTAAAACCGAATTTCTAGAAACGCAGCATCGTCTTCTTGTCGAAAGGTCGGCTTAGTCGACAATTTCTGTTTATGTATTCGTCATTACTGGTTCTGTAAATGCCACTGTATAACTGATGAACTTTGAATATTTATTGCTTCATCTGAAGGGGGTGGGCATACACCATGATCCGTGATATAGTATTGCGTCGAATGTGGCTAGCATAACACTTTGTCCTATCTGGTAATGTCATTTTTTAATGAATGACCGCTAATATCTTAGGGGAAGGTCCTACTCCTGTTGCATGTTATACTTGAAATAGTATGATACGAGATGAGGCGTATTCTAATGTTGCACTGACCTTTTGGTTGAAACGTTACGGCCGTCCACACAAGCTTAAAGCCAATTATTTGGCCGGGCTGCTTGATAGGAGAGGCCACGGTTGTTCTTAATCTGAAAGAAAACGACAGCGTCAAGTGTTGCAGATTGGTCTAAATTTCTCCCCTACAAGCACTCGTAAACACTTAAGCAAACATAGGACACGAAGTTGTTTGCCCAATCTTAATACCCTATGTTGGCAAAACATTGGGTTTACGAGTCTAAGAAAGATGTGTGGACAACAACATTAAGTTATATTTTGTATAAAAAAGAAATCGCAAAGCAGCAATAAAGGAAAGATTGTTGAAGGGGCGTAATACAAGCAAAAGTCCTCCTGTGTGCGCCTATCTATCTATCCTATAGGAAAAGGCGAGCAACAAAGTCACTATGGCGGCAACTACAGTATGAAAACATGAGTGGTGCACCAACGAAAACTTTTCAAGCATGGTATGCTGAAAACAAATAGGCCAACGTACTTCTACTATTTCGGATTGGTGAGTAAGGTTGGGTTTACCGGAATGCGCGTCTAAAGTTTCCTAGGGATACATGACATGCTTGAACGTTGCGAACGTAGTGGAATTTACAACATGCAAGTACAATGGGTGATTGAAGGACACGCCACAGAACCTCAATTCTTCAATTTTTTATTGTCCGTGTCGTGAGTTACGCTGTCTTCAAGACATTCGTGAACGAGCGCAGATGTCAATTCTTCAAAATCAATTCAATTACTACAAATTTTTTGGTTTTACGTGAAAATCACGGTTAATTATGACGGAAGCTGTATTAGAGAGCTCCGGAATTTATGACAATCTGGTGTTCTTTAACATGCACGGACGTAGCACTGTACACGGTGCACTAAAGTTTCGTCTTCATCGAAACACAACCGCCACGGCCCGGATTGAACCGGCGACCCCAGGGTAAGCAGCCGGATACCATAGCCACTGAATCACTGGTGCGGACATCATTTGCACTTGAATTTTTCACGCACAAAAAATGTATTTGTAGCACGAAGTGGTAAGAAATTTCAAGATTTTCATTATTTATCACTGAGAATGTCCTTTCCTTCACCAAAAAATGCTTTCCTGGACGGCTTTGAGCACAATCTTTTATGTAGCTTGAATATAAGAAGGTAGACACTTAGCAGACAAACAACCAAATAAATACAAATAAACAAAGGCGTTTTTGTGTCAGGAACACCACGAAACACAAACGTAAGAATAAGCCAGTATTCTCTAAATGACTTTACCCCTTTTGTTATTTTCTATTGAGAGAGAGAGAGAGAAAATAAAATGAGAGAAAGGCAGGAAGGTCTACCGGAAATTGGGGCGTACATTTTGCTACCCTGCATTGAGAGAAAGGAGAATAGAGAATAAAGATGTGAAACAAAGTGAAAAGCAAAGTATTCACGCTAAAAAAAGAGCTTATTCCATAGGCGACTACCACATAAAAAGTTCAGTAAGGCCTTGATTGATTTTCTGGGTAAAGACAGATCGTGTGGGCTCTCGAGCACTGATTGCTCTGACAAGGGTCTGTCATCAAGGCGAGCTAACAGCTAGCTGCCGTCTTTGCACGCTGTAATGAGGGCAGTGACATAAAACGTGCTCTATCGTTTCATCGCTGCCGCAATAGTCGCAAGCAGCGCAGTCTTGCATGATTTTCTATTGAAAATGCATAGGTAGCGTTTGCGATTATATTTCACCATATACTTAGAAATTTTGGCGCAACCTCGACTCACGCAAACACTCACACAAGCACACACACTTACACCAGAGCAACACACACGACACGCAGCGCTCTGGTGTAAGTGTGTGTGCTTGTGTGAGTGTTTGCGTGAGTCGAGGTTGCGCCAAAATTTCTAAGTATATGATGTATAACCAACTAGCCCAACAACAAGTTTTATTAAGCTATATTTCACCAGACCCCTGCTCAATGCTACCTAAAACAACCTATTTAGAAAGCATACATTGGAAATGCTTTGCAAGTTCCGAAGGAATCCTATTTCATTGGCGTTACAACGAGGTTCGGAAAACACCTAGCTCACGCCCCTTTCAGAGGACTTTAATTCTCTTGCTGTAGCATCTGGAATTACCCACATACCTCTCCAACTCGTTAAGCCTTCAACAGCAGCTGGTTACTCTATGTAGTCGTAAGAAAATGAAAACTTCATAATCATATTAGGCGTTGTGGTGAGAACCACGTATTGGGACAGCAAACACCGCGGTCTGGTGAGAGTATGTTGTTCACTCTAACCAGATTCCATTCAAAAATATAAAGCCGAAATAGTTTACGGGCATTTGCAATGGGTGAAACTGAGTCCTCAAAACACGAACATAGCCGAAGCTAGCCGAGAAACAAAAATTGCCCCCACCTCCCCGAAGGGAATCATGAGGAAATGCGAATGCGTTTCTTGCAACGAGAGTACACGACGCAGTAATTTCAATGGCGTAGATTAATGACGAGGCGAGCATTTGTGCCGTAACCAAATATGTACACATTCATCTGTCAGCGAACAATCGAGAGTGAGGCGCGCGCTTCACTCCATTTATACATACTTACGAGTGAGTGGAAACGTGGCGATAGCGTAGTGGTTAGAGCATCCGCCTCGCATGCAAGAGGTCCGTGGTTCAAATCCCGGTACCGCGCAGTTCCCAACCGGATTAAAAAAAAAATCCGCGTGTTGATGGAACTGCATTAAGAGGCCTGGGGTGCGGCCTCACCGGCAAACACCGCCGAGAACGCACTCCCTCACCAGAGAAGGATTGGCCACCCTGGCGCAGTATCTGGCCACTACCTCCCACATGCTTACGTCAAATAACTCACGGCCCTCAGTCCCCAGCAGCTGCGAAGCAACTGACCACGGCGGCGGTCAGATCTGCAACGCAGCAGAGGGTGCTAAGAATCTCTGGATCCGGACAGGCCGCCATTGGAACCTGAACTTGGCAACGTTTAACGCTAGAACCTTATCTAGTGAGGGAAGTCTAGCTGTACTATTCGAGGAGCTAGAGGGTGTTAAATGGGATATAATAGGGCTCAGTGAGGTTAGGAGGACAGATGAGGCCTATACGGTGCTACAGAATGGGCACGTCCTTTGCTATCGGGGCTTGGTAGACAGAAGAGAACTGGGAGTGGGGTTCCTAATTCACAGAAACATAGCTGGCAACATAGAGGAATACTATAGCATTAATGAAAGTGTGGTATGTATTGTAATTAAACTGAATAAAAGATACAAAATGAAGGTAGTACAGGCTTACGCGCCTACATCCAGCCATGATGACGCTTCAGTTGAAAGCTTCTATGAAGACGTGGAATCGGCAATGAGTAAGGTAAAAACACAGTATACTATAGTGATGGGCGACTTTAATGCAAAGGTAGGGAAGAAGCAGGCTGGAGACCAGGCAGTAGGAGATTATGGCATCGGTACTAGAAACGCCAGAGGAGAGCTACTAGTAGAATTCGCAGAACGCAATAATTTACGGATTTTGAATACCTTCTACCGAAAACGAGAAAACCGCAAGTGGACATGGAGGAGCCCTAATGGCGAAAATAAGAACGAAATAGACTTTATAATGAGTGCACAGCCTGGAATCGTGCAGGATGTGGAAGTGATTGGCAAGGTACGATGCAGTGACCATAGAATGGTACGGTCTCGAATTCGCCTAGACTTGAAAAAGGAACGACAGAAACTGATACGCAAGAAGCCAATCAATCAGCTAGCACTGAGAGGGAAAGTACAGGAATTCAGAGCGTCCCTGCAGAACAGGTACTCGGCTCTTAGTGAGGAAACCAACCTTAGCGTAGATACAATGAATGATAATCTGACGAGTATCATTACGGAGTGTGCAGTGGAAGTTGGAGGCAGGGTAGTTAGACAGGACACTGGCAAGCTTTCCCAGGAAACGAAGAACCTAATTAAGAAGCGTCAAATCATGAAAGTGTCAAGTACAACAGACAAAATAGAACTGGCAGAGCTTTCGAAGTTGATTAATAGACGTAAGGTATGCGATGTAAGAAGGTATAACATGGAGAGAATTGAACACGCTCTGAAAAACGGAGGAAGTGTCAAAGCATTGAAGAGGAAACTTGGGATAGGCAAAAGTCGGATGTATGCACTAAGGGACAAAGAAGGCAAAATAACTACCAATATGGATAGGATAGTTAAAATAGCGGAGGAGTTTTACAGAGATCTGTACAGTAGCCGAGACAACCACGACCTTAATACTATAAGAACTAGCAGTAACCCAGATTACACCCCACCAGTAATGATAGAAGAAGTCAGAAAAGCTTTGGAGAGCATGCAAAGGGACAAAGCTGCTGGTGAGGATCAGGTAACATCAGATCTGCTGAAAGATGGAGGACAGATTGTGTTAGAAAAACTAGCCACCCTGTTTGCGAGGTGTCTCCTGACGGGAAGAGTACCAGAGTCTTGGAAGAACGCTAACATCATCTTAATACATAAGAAAGGAGATGACAAGGACTTGAAGAATTACAGGCCGATCAGCTTGCTCTCTGTAGTATACAAGCTATTTACAAAGGTAATTGCTAACAGAGTAAAGAGAACATTAGAATTCAATCAACCAAAGGAACAAGCGGGATTTCGAACAGGCTACTCAACAATTGACCACATTCATACTATCAATCAGGTAATAGAGAAATGCTCAGAGTATAACCAACCACTATACATAGCCTTCATAGATTACGAGAAGGCGTTTGATTCAGTAGAAATATCATCCGTCATGCAAACACTGCGGAATCAGGGCGTAGATGAAGTATATATAAACATTCTGGAAGAAATCTACAGGGGATCAACTGCTACCATAGTGCTTCATAAAGAAAGCAACAGAATACCAATCAAGAAGGGTGTAAGGCAGGGGGACACAATTTCCCCAATGCTATTTACCGCGTGCTTACAGGAGGTTTTCAGAAGCCTAGAATGGGAACATTTAGGGATAAGAGTCAATGGAGAATACCTTAGTAACCTGCGCTTCGCCGATGACATTGCATTGCTGAGTAACTCGGGGGACGAATCGCAACTCATGATTACGGAGTTAGACAAGGAGAGCAGAAAGGTGGGTCTT